AGGACTTTGGCACCTACTTTGTACATACGTAGTTAAACATGCTCAAGGCTGAACTCTACTTGGGCCTACAAGCAGAACAGGAAAATAAGCATGTACATGGCGTGGACTGCTACCAGAGGCATGCACTTCAGCAGTCTGTGTTACATTAGATGATACCTAGCTATATTACAATGAAGGATACAAGGAAGGTCGGGTTTAGGGTTTGGGCTTAAGGGTCCAGGGGTTAGGGCTTTAAGGGTAAAGGGGTTAAGGCGGTGAAGGGCTTCGGGGCGCACCATTTGGCCCAAAGGGCCCTCAAGGAGCAGGTACCATAGTCCAACCAAGAGTGAAGAAGAAGGCACGAACCTGATTCCCGACAGAATGCCTGTTGGACACGTGTCGCCACGGGTAAGATCCCGAGGGAACCCCTGAGCCACCGATGTTCCTCTTAGGCTCCGAAGTCTGGACCCGGGCGAGAAGGCAAGAGTAGTGTTGGAGATGGAGCACTCGAGGCTCGACATCTCACCTTGAGAAGGCACCAACTGGAAATGTCGGATGCGATTGGACGGAGAGGAAGGCGGGCACCCCTGAGCAACCGATGTGCCTCTTTTGCGCTCAACCTCTGTGCAAGGCAGCCGGCGTGACTTAGGAGCCTTGCCAGTGCAAACGTAACCCCACCTTACTCAAAGCCCATGGGACACAAGTCTCGTGGGAGGCTGAAGTCTAGAGTCTGGGGCATAGGAGCTTTTAGGGTTTAGGCTAATCCGAATCCGCCAGCAGCTAACCCACTGAATCCGAACGCCCAAATCTCTCCAGCCCCCCACTCACCTGGAACCCGAGACCAAGGTAGAAGCCTACTCCCAGAAAGTCTCGAAACCCTATTTTCCCTACACCCTGTACACGAAACCGTGCCCAAATCCGAAATTTTGGGGTTTTGGGTTTAGGACGGTAACCGGTATAGAGTTTAGGGTTTAGGACGGCTTGGGGTTTGGGGTTCCGAAGACCAAAACTCCGAAACTCTCAACACCCGAAGCCCTGCAACCTCTGAACGGTCTGAGGCCAATAGCCCTGACCGCAAACCCTAAACCCGAAACCCCGAAACCCCTAAACCCAAACCCCTAAACCCTAAACCCGAAACCCTAAACCCTATACCCCGAAACCCTAAACTCCCAAATGAAAAGGTTGAAGGAAACCCGCAGAGGCTAGGGTTTGGGCTGGGGATGGGGCATTTAGGCTTTGGGGTTTAGGGTTTAAGGGTTTAGGGGCTTAGGGTTTGGGCTTTAGGGTCTAGGGCTTGGGGCATTTAGGGTTTAGGGGTTTGGGGGTTTAAGGGTTTAGAGGGGTAGGGTTTGGGGTTTAGGGTGTAGGGCTTAGGGCATTTAGGGTTTAGGGGTTTGGGGTTTAAGGTTTACCGGTTTAGGACTTTTTACGCTTTAAAGTTTTCGAGATTTCCAGCTTGTTGGGTTTTAGAGTTTGGGATTTTCCCCTGTCGAGGCTACAGTCCCTCTGGGCGCACGTGCAGAGCTGTGCCACGTCCCTGGGCTTCGGCGTGTCACTTTGGATCTTCAGCCTTGGACATTGCCTGGTCTATTTGGTGGGACCCGACCCTTTCGGTCAGCTGATAGAGTATGCGACGTGGGTTTGGGCCACTGGAAGCTTTCTGGTGCTGGGGACGCTGCTAGAGATTCTTGCCCGGGTTTCTGCGCAGGGTGGACCGGTGTGGCGGTGGCGGTCCTGGCGGCGGATGATGATTCCTCTCTGCCATCAGCTCGAGGCCTTAGTTCTGACTGTTATGACCTTCAGACTGGGCATGAGCATCTATCTTTTACATGTGGCTTTACGGGGAGGCGCCCTGCCGGTTTCGGTGTCGAATCTGGACAAGGCCACCGTGCTAATCCTCTGCGTCTATCGTGCCCTCCGCACTTGGGAGGAGTTTCGGGGAATTTCGGTGCAGGAGACGCTGCACGAGAGAAGGAAAAAGGCCAGCATGAAGAAGCTCTGGATGCACGAATTCAAGGAGGCTTGGCAAGAGCACCGGGCACGGCAAGTGGTCCGAATCTTGGGTTCTTTTTAATGAACGTGTTTTAAACCAATACATATGTGTACAGATTATATATATACATATATATATATGTATACATTTTGATATAGATATAGATATAGATATAGATAGGCAGAGACAACAATGTTCCTTAACATGGTTGCTTAAAGCCCAGGAATTCAGCAAGTCTTGAACAAAAAGTGGGTACAGATGCTCTTCTTCGTCTCCTCTCTCACTTACTGCGCAGTGGAGTTCTTCGCCTTCGTGCGTACCTCGGAGGTTCTTGGCTACGCGCTCCTATTTGCTCTTGGTGCTGAGTTTCTTCTTCGAGCATGGGCTCAAGGTGGGCGGTTCTTGAATTTAGGTTTGGCATGTAGGGGTGCAGGATGTACGGGTTTAGGGCTAAAGTTGAGGGCTTTGGGGTTTAGGTTCTATAGGGTACAGGGTCTTGTAAGCCTGGCGCGAGCAGTGCGTTCATCCCATCAGTAGCATCGATAGAAGAGTGTGATGAGGTTCTACGCTCCAGCAAACGGTTCCGTGTCGGGTGATCCATTACGAATTTAAAACACTCTATAAAACCCGTGTGGAGGACTGTTAACATGTAAGACCCTTGCAAGAGCCGGTTAAACACTAAGCCCTAAACCCTACACCTGGTGAACACTCCATAAAACCTTAAACCCTAAACCCTAGAACCTGGCTACTACACAGGTGGTGAGCACTTCTTCCGGCCGTCTCTGAACAAGATGGAGACCCGACTCTCCTGAGGGCTCAGGCTAAGAGTTTTGGGGTCTTTAGGGGCTTTCATAGTCGGAGATTGAGAGTGTGGGATTCATGGTTTCGGGTTAGGGTTCAGGGTTTATTCCAAAGTTTGGGGTTTAGGGTTCAGTTTAGGGTTCAGGGTTTAGGGTTCAGGGTTTGGGGTTCAGGGTTTCGGGTTTAGGGTTCAGGGTTTATAGTAGGGTTCCAAAATTTGGAGCTTGAAATGAAAGGCCTCAATTGAGTCCGGAACCTGAAGTCGTAACAGCCCTTACGTTATCGCCTTAGGTCGAGCAGCCTTATTCGCGCTCTTCCGCTTTATCTCCAGAAGTTTGGTCTTCCAATTGTTGAAGCATCAAATGCCTGGACTTTAAACCCTAAATCCCACAGTAGACCGAAGACCGTCGCCATTTTACGTGGTAGCCTAACGACCTAATCAAGATTTTCGTAGCAAGAGCTCAGTACAAAGTCGGGATTCTAGGCCGCAAGCCAACCTGCCACAAGGAGTTCTGTGTGCTCGCGGCAGGGACGTGGTGCTTGTTCTATGCCACCTGGTATCTTCGTCTCGCACAAGCTTCTGGTATTTGAGGGTCGCAAGTGTTAGTGTTCGAGACTTTGAGTGTTGGGATAGGGTTTAGGGTTCAGGGTTTATGCTTTCGGGTTTACAACGTAAGAAGTTAGCCTTCAAGTGTTAGGTTCTAGGATTTTCGCCCGAAGCCCTAAACCCGAAGCCCTAAATCCATGATCCACAGCCGAAGCAACGTAAGCTTCACTTGTCGGGTTCACCTCGACACCCAGGCCTGACAGGGTTTGAGGTTGAGGTTGTAGGGTTTAGGGTTTGAGGTTTAGAAGTCAGGGGCCTGAAGAACTAGTAATTCTTATCCCTCTACATTCATGATACCATTATGATTGGGCCATAACATAACCCAAAAATCTATTCTAATCATTAAGGCTCCTATTTTTACCCAAGACTCACAGGTGCTAGTACCCAAGACTCACAGGTGCTAGTAGTCATCGCGATATCTGGTTCGGGTGTTGAGGTTTGTGTTTTCGAGAGATGCTTGGAGGATCAGCGGTCTCAGTAAGTAGGATTTTTTTTGGTTTAGGGTTTAGGGTTTTGAAGCGCCCAAATGATGTAGGGCAGGTCGAGGCTTCAAGCAAATTAAAGCATGTAGAAATCCTGATGTCCCTCACTACACTCCACTTAAGCCTAGCTAGATATCCCTGAGCCCTAAACCCTAAACTCCAGCGCCTTGGACCCTAAACCCTAAAGTCTTGAAGCCTAAGCCAGAATTACTCCCCAAAGCCGAAAGCCCTGAAAAAAACCCAAGTAACAAGCCCTGAAGCCTTGACGGAGCTTTGAAAATCGGGGGGCCCTATACGGTTTCAGGGACTTTGGCTGGGAAGTGCCCGAGGTCAGTTGCCTCTGTGATCTTACAGGGTTTAGGGTTTGGGGGTTTAGGGTTTAGGGTTTGGGGGTTCAGGGTTTCGGGTCTAAGAGGTATTCTATTGAAGGGGTTTTGTGTTGTTTAAGCAAAGCTTGACGATTGTATCAGGAGTACCAAAGCAACATTTCAGCTAGGGTGGAGGCGGGGAAGGCCTGCCGGGCGCGTGAGCCCTTAAAGCCCGGTGTTCAGGACCCTAAGCCCTACTCCCTAAACCCCGTCGAAGCCCCGGCAGACTGAACTCCAAACGCCCCCCCCAACCCGGAGAAGTCCCAGACCTCACACGCGAAGTCCTTAGACTTAGACCATGCGTCTTAAATCCTGAATCCGAGGTACACGCAGTACCTGGTTTCGTCAAAGAATGAGGCGACGGCGTTTGCCACGGCGACGGCGGTGCTTCTGCTCATTCACCGGTGCCTCCGGCTCCTAGGAATCCAGCCCCTCAGCTCTCTTCTGATGCAATGATTAGGGGTTAGGGTTTCGGGTTCGGGTTTAGGGTTTAGGGTTTAGGGTTGCTTGGAGGCTCATGGGTAGTTCTAAGTGGGGTTACAAGCAGGGTAACTCTAGTTATAACCCATATTAGGGGACTTATAACCATAGTTATAACTACCCATGGACCTCCAAGTAGAAGAGTGCAACATACTAAAGACAGTAGAATGCTTTTTGAGAGACAGCATCATGGAACATAAGACAAGGGAAGTCAATCGAGTAGTATGTAGTATGATACAGTGGCCTGTAGCATATACATGCACAGTGGTGGTTTCGAGTTGGAGACTTGAAGTTGAGGCTTCAGGTACGGGTGTTGGGTGTGGGTTTAGGGTTTTTGGTTTAGGGTCCCCCTTACGGTTTAGGGTTTAGGGTCCCCGTTAGGGGTTTAGGGTTTAGCGTGCCCCTTAGGGTTTAGGGTTTAGGGTCCCCCTTAGGGGTTTAGGGTTTAGGGCCCCTTAGGGTTCAGGGTTTGAGACCCCCTATAACAAGAATTTTGGGTTTAAGCGATTGGGTTTAACAGACGGCCTCCAGCACAAGCGGGATTGCCAGCTCGTGTAGCAAGGCTTTACTGCGGCGCCTAGCTGCTTTCAATAATCTGATGCATGACCTTCGGCACGGAGTTGCGGGGGTTGTATGGGTGTACTATGGTGTACTTACCCTAAACCCAAAACCCCACACTCGACCCCAAAACCCCAAACCCCTAAACCCCTAAACCCTTAAACCCCTAAACCCTAAACCCTAAACCTCCTGAACCCGGAACCCTAAACCCCAAAGCCTAGAGGCTGAAGATCTCCGCCAGCGAGTTCGATGCCGACTCCGTTGCCTCCTCCCTGGCTGTGCAGGTGGGCGAGGGCTGTCCTTACAGGGCGAGGATGTCGGGTTTAGCTTAGGGAGTTTAGGGTTGAGGGTCTAGGGGGGTTGGGATAAGTCAGAGTTCAGTCATAACTCCATATCGGATTCTACTGTCAGAGTGCCTCGATTTCTGAAGCTTCCCTTGCTTCACGCGTGGCTGGTTTTATGTCAACGAGAAGGTGCGTCACGGCATTTGCGCCTGATGACGCAGCACCCTTGTGCTGAACATAGAGGTACTTAGAACCCTAAATCCGAGGGTCCTTGCTTCAGGACCGCAAAACACAGTGCACTCAAATCGGACGTCGTCAGTCAGCTGGGGCACCTGTTGGCTGGGTAATGCCTGTAAAGAAATTGCCTTGTAGCGCGCATCATACATCATGAGAATCAGCTGGGTGATGCTTTCCGGAGGATTGCTCCAGCAGCGCGCATCATGAGCATCACTGGATAGTACCTGCCGGAGGATTGCCCTAGCAGCTCGCATCATGAGCATCAGCTGCGTAAGACCTGTCGCAGGTTTGCCCCAGCAGCGCGCATCATGAGCATCAGCTGGGTCATGCCTTCCGCAGCATTGCCCTAGCAGCGCGCATCATGAGCATCAGCTGGGTGCCTGTTGGAGGATTGCCTTAGCAGCGTGCATCATGAGTCGGAGGATTGCGCTGGCTACACGCATCATGAGCGCGGGCTGGGTGATGCCTGTCGGTACGGAGGCTGCCCGAGCAGCGCGCATCATGAGCATCGGCTGGGCGATTCCTGTCGGAGGATTGCCCCAGCAGCGTGCATCATGAGCATCAGCTGCGTAACACCTGTTGCAGGATTGCCCCAGCAGCGCGCATCATGAGCATCAGCTGGGGTGCCTGTTGGAGGATTGCCCTAGCTGACGCATCATGAGCACGGGCTGGGTGATGCCTGTCGGTACGGAGACTGCCCGAGCAGCGCGCATGATAAGCATCAGCTGCGCAATACCTGTTGCAGGTTTGCTCCAGCAACGCGCATCATGAGCATCATGCCTTCCGCAGCATTGCCCCAGCAGCGCACATCATGAGCATCAGCTGGGTGCCTGTGGCAGGATTGCCTTAGCAGCGCGCATTATGAGTCGGAGGATTGCCGTAGCTGCATGCATCATGAGCACTGGCTGGGTGTACGGGAGACTGCCCGAGCAGCGCGCATCATGAGCATGAGCTGTGTTATACCTGTCGCAGGGTTGCCCCAGCAGCGCGCATCACGAGCATCAGCTGGGCAATACCTGTCGGAGGATTGCCTAGCAGCGCGTATCACGAACATCAGCTGGGTGCCTTGTGGAGGATTGCCTTAGCAGCGTTCATCATGAGTCGGAGGATTGCGCTGGCTGCACGCATCATGAGGTTGGGCTGGGTGATGCCTGTCGGTACGGTAGACTGCCCGAGCAGCGCGCGTCAAGAGCATCAGCTGTGCAATACCAGCAGCGAGCATCATGATCATCAGCTGTGTCATGCCTGCCGCAGCATTGCCCTAGCAGCGCTCATCATGAGCATCAGCTGGGTGCCCGTGGCAGGATTGCCTTAGCAGCGTGCATCATGAGTCGGACGATTGCCGAAGCTGCACGCATCATGAGCACTGGCTGGGTGTACGGGAGACTGCCCAAGCAGCGCGCATCATGAGCATCAGCTGGGTGCCTGCGGGAGGATTGCCTTAGAAGCGCGCATCCTGAGTCGGACTAGCTGCATGCATCATGAACACGGGCTGGGTGTACGGGAGACTGCCCGAGCAGCGCGCATCATGAGCATCAGCTGTGTAATACCTGTCGCAGGGTTGTTGCCCCAGCAGCGCGCATCATGAGTCGGACTAGCTGCACACATCATGAACACGGGCTGGGTGTACGGGAGACTGCACCGCGTGCATCATGAGGATCAGCTGGGTAATACCTGTCGGGAAACTTCCCCTGGCAGAGTGCATCATCTGCTGGGGAAGACCTGTCGGCAGATTTACCCTTGCCCGGCTTGACATGAGCGTCAGATGGGTGATGATTGTCGGGAGAGTGCCGTAGCAGCGCATCATGAACTTCAGCTGGGTGATTCCTTTACCGGATTGCGCGCATCATCATCGCTGCGTGCATCAACGTCAACCGAAAAAATTAACGTTTTTGCCTGGAGCGTAGCATCAGCACCAGCCAGGTATATTATACTGTTTGTCCAACAACTGAGTGGCCAGTATGCCTTGTCAGCGTCAGTTTGGCCTTTCCTGTCCGTAAATCCCTCTACCCGTCGTAGCGATCAGCGAAGTCACTGCAACGCACGACATGTACACTACATGCTCGCACTCATTTTCCTTGAGTCCAAAACCGAACTCGAACCGCTGAAAACCGCAGCAATCTTCACCTCCAACCGGCTTAAGCTTCTTGAACCACTTTACAACCCCATAAAAAAAGGCAATGTGGGATCATGAAGTAAATAGGGGTCGGAAGAATCAAGTATAGTCCTCCAGAGCGCAGTTACAGAAAACTTCCACAGCCCGTTCTTGATTGTTGAGGCACTGAAATGGAACCCTTTAAGGCGTTCATGGAGTTTATGGCTTTGGGTTCAGCGCCCAGCGTGGTACCAAGCTTAAAGCCACTAACACCCTCAGAGAGCGCAAGACGCTTGTAGGCCTTCATGACCAATCTTGGCTGCTACGTGGACGTGCCGCCCACGAATGTCAAAGTGGACCTTTCCGCCTCCAGCATCCACATCCAGAAGCTTGGCCTTAGGGTCGACGAGTTGGGGGTTCCTGTTCAGGGTTTGCAGGGTTTAAGATTTAGGGTTCAAGGTTTCAGATGCAGAATTTAGAGCTTAAGCTTTGAGGTTTTGGGTTTGGGGCCTGAGGTTCCGGGTTTGGGCGTTAGGGTTTAGGGCTTGGGGTGCGGCATTCCCGGATTTTATTTCAAAATCTAGGGTTTAGGATTTAGGGTTCCACAACGGTACTTTTGGGTCCAGGGTTCAGGTGTCCGATGTTGGCGTTGATGACCGGACCACGTCGTAACAAACCCTTACATAAATATACAAATGCACACGTGTATATAAATATATAAAATCATAAATACGTGTGTGTATATATATATATATGTATGCATATACACACGCACGCATATACACACACATTCACAGATACTGGTACATAGCTATAGCTACCTACACACATACATGCATACCTCCATAGGTACATGTATGCAGATATGAATGTAAGTGTGTGTATATTATACACACACACACATATAAATATATATATAATTAGAGTCTTTCTGTATAATTATGTATACGTCCATGTGTGCGCCCATGCTTATTACTCAAATTTCCAAACTGTGCCATCATACTGTACAGCTTTCATACACCGCGCAGTACTCCGCAGAAGCTTGGACTTTGTTGGTATTGTTCTGAGCATTGTTTCGCGTTATGGTCCGTAGGAATATGCACAACGGCTCAAGATCTGTATGTTTTCTTGTATAGTTCCTATTTTGGAGGCCCTCAGATCCCGTATGTTGGTATCGGAGGTGTAGTTATGTCCCATGAATTTCACGGTCATCCACAAGCATTACAAGGGTCCGGTCTTGCGGATCCAGAACGACCACAAGCCTGCGTCAGTGTGGGGTTCTTTTTGAGGCATAGTGTGGGAAGCGTCTTATTTTTTTGATTGGCTTCATAACTTCTTGTCTATACTGCTACTAAATCCAAAACCCTTGTATCTTCTTGTTTAATTTGTTTTGCAGTGGTAAGCTGCATAGCGAAATCCCGGGAGCTCTGTCTGGGGGTCAGAGTTGCACTGTTTGCTAAACCTCTCTAATCGTATACCGTCTGTATCACACTCAGAAACCCTATAAAGGGTTTGGGGTAACCCTAAACCCTAAACCCTTATTCCGAAGCCCATTGGCCCTAGACCATAAAGCCATGGCCTTCGCCCGAAGTGCCGCAAAGTACGCTTTTGGCCCCAAGTCTAAAACTTAAATCTAAACTTAAATCCCTAAATCCGGAGACACCTTAAGCCAGAAGCCTTAAGCCCAAACCCAAAGCCCCTGGACCCAAGACCCATGAGCCTTAAGTTGTTAGACCCCAAAGTACCCCCTGAGCCACTTGGACCTCTGTCCCAGTTTCCTTACAGGAAACACCCTTCTAGAAACCCCTTATCGAACCCTTTGCAGAACCCTAGACCCTCTTGAATGTTTCAAGGACCGGCCTGAAGCCAAAAACCTGATCTAAAAACCTCAAACCCTAAACCTCAAGCCCTGAACCTAAACCAAGGAAAGCCAGCCTGAAGCCGGAGACGTTGGAGGGTTTGCATTTGCCTTTGGCTGTGACCGGGGCCCTTGTGGAAGACCTCTTCGTAGACCTTTCCAGCGATTCCAAGGAGCCCGGGCCTAGTCCATAAACGCTCTAAGCTTTAGGGTTTAGGGTGCTAAAGCCTAAACCCGGCGTGTTAGAGAGTTTTGTTGAAGACTTGTTCCGTCGCTGACGATGTGCACCCCGAAACCTTAACCAAACCCGAAACCCTAAGCCCTGAGCCCTAAAGACTCATCTGGCATTGGCCCAGACTTTCCAACCCTGAAGCCCGCATACCCTCAGCTCACAGGACCCTGCTGGGCTTCTTGGAGGGAAGTGTCAGGGATCTATTAGGGTTCAGGGTTTAGGGTTGAGGGTTTGTGTAAGGGATCTGTGTAGACCCCCCGCCCCCCGGTGTTTTTAGAATTTTTGGGAGGCTGCAAAATCAGGGGAGCCCCCCAGTGCTCGTCCAGTCCTTGAAGCAACCCCTAAGCCCTCAACCCTAGACCCGTAGACGGTTTCCCCGGAGCGAAGAGCCGTAAACTCTGCTCCGCTATCTTCGAAGCTGCACTGAAAACTTAAAACCTTAGCTCTAAGCCCTCCCTATGGGGTCATACCCTACCTGTTTTAGGGTTTAGGGTTCACCCGAAACCTGGAGCCCGGGGCGCACTACCCCTTCCCTTCACCCCCAACCTGTAAACAACAAATCCAAACCCTAAACCCTCAACCCCATATGGGAGTTTCCGAAAATAAGGGGTGCCCTCTTTTGCCATGGGGTCGTTATAACAAGGATCTTATTAATCATTTAAGGTGCTATATTAGGGTCCGCTATTTCGGGAAACCCTATACTCTGTGAGGAGATGGGCAGATTGACCTTTGCCTCGCGCACGCACGGCCGAACCCGAATCCGCGTCGCCTGGACTGGCTTAGGGCAGGGCCTCCTCTTGGGCATGAGGACTAGTGTTACCTAAACTCCCCCAAAAGTAGGCAAAAGAATCCCTCAGAAGGCTATTATTTTACCTCCATTAGGGGCCTAAAACCCCCAAAAAGTAGGTAAAATCATGGCCCAAGACCCTTACAAAGGCCATGATTTTGCAGACTTTAGGGGTTCAGGGTAGGGTTGAGGGGCATCCGTTTGCAACATTTGCGTCAACCTTGAGTTCCACGTGAATCTTGGGGGGCTTCATCACAGGTTTCGTTATACGGCTGTCCTGGGTTTTTAGGGTTTAGGGTTTAGGCTTTCCTGGGTTTAGGGTTTCCTGGGTTTGGGGTTTATAGGGTTTAGGGTTTCCTGGGTTGTAGGGTCTAGGGTTGGCATCATTTTAAAGAAACCCTAAACCCTAAACCCTAAATCGTGTCTTATGGGTTGGTCTCTTGCCGTCTTCGGGGCCTGAGCATGAGCTGGCTTTCGAGCTTTGGGGCTCCGGTCTCCGAGGGTATAAAGTTTTGGGATCCACCGTAGGGTGTAGGGTTCACGGTTTATAACGGTTCTAGGATTTTGGGATAAGGTTTAGGGCTTAGGGTGTAGGGTCCAGGGTTTAGGGTTTAGGGTGTGTTTTTAGGGAGGAGTTCAAAGCTACGGGGTCCGTTTCGAGGTGCGTGTTTAATCAAGTGTTGCCGATGGAGGGAGCCTAGGAGCTTCACAGGTTCCAAAACCACATATAGGGTTTTGAAGGGTTTTTATCAAAACCATCAAAGATTTGAACCCTGGAGCCCTCCACCGTCCCGAGCAGTGGATCTGACACCACAGGCTCAAGCATCCAAGCTCAGGGAACCTGGCGGCTGTCAGACGTATTCTTCATACTATAACCGCTACACACCCCGCCCACCCTTCAAAAACAGACAACAACAGCAGCATCAGCAGCAGCAGCGCCACCAGCACCAGCAGCACCAGCAGCACCAGCAGCACCAGCAGCACCAGCAGCACCAGCAGCACCAGCAGCACCAGCAGCACCAGCACCACCACCACCACAGCCGCCACCACCACCACCACCACCGCCACCACCACCACCACCACCACCACCGCCACCACCCCCGCCACCGCCACCACCACCACCACCACCAACAACAACAACAACAGCATCAGCCACAGCCACAGCCACAGCCACAGCCCCAGCCCCAGCCCCAGCCCCAGCCCCAGCCCCAGCCCCAGCCCCAGCCCCAGCCCCAGCCCCAGCCCCAGCGCCAGCGCCAGCCGCAGCCACAGCCACAGCCACAGCCACAGCCACAGCAACAGCAGCAACAGCAACAGCAGCAACAGCAGCAACAGCAACAGCGACAGCCACAGCGACAGCCACAGCCACAGCAACAGCAACAGCAACAGCAACAGCAACAGCAACAGCAACAACAACAACAACCACAACCACAACCAAGCCGTTTCCAAATCATTTTTGGGAACTCCTCAACCGAGGTCAAGAATCTGTTGCTGGTTCTGGGGCCCGGCCCGGGTCTATCTTCCTGCCCAAACAAGGGCGGAGGTCATTGGCACTACCAGACACTGGGCGGTTTAGACCTTGTGGTTTGGGGGTTGGAGCTTTGTTTTGGTTTGAGGGGATTGCCCCGAGTTATTGATTGAATTTGTAGAAGGTTTCTTGCGAAGAGTTTTCCATGGGCGTGGAAACGCTCTCGGTTGGCCAAGGTCTGCAGTGTGGTCCTTGGTTAAGGGTGATTGTGCTGCTTGGGTGCTGCTTTTGTAGTTTCAAGGAAAACCTGCCAGGTCGCAAGCCCAATCCATAAACCCCAAAGCCTAAGCCCTCAATCCTGACACCCAAAACCCCAAACCCTCAAACCCAGGACTGTGCTGGCCGCGAAGTGGCGCGTCGTCAAGATGATCTGCCAGAGGCTCAACCCTAGACCCTGAACTCTAAACATTTAACTGAACCCTGAACACCCTAAACCCTGAGCGCCCTAAACCCTGAACCCTAAAGCCTGATCCCCAAACTCTAAACCCAACCCTAAACCCCGAACCCCGAACCCTAGACCTTCAACCCTAAACCCTCTAACCGCTGAAACCCTGAAAGGCTCAAACCCTGAAAGGCTCAAACCCTGAACCCTAAACCCTAGACCTTAAACCCCTAAACCCTAAACGCTGGAGCCCTGCAAGGCTCACAGTTCCTGTCGTAGAGGCCACGGCGGTCAGGGAGTCACAGGACTCCCTCGGCTCACTGGGCTCCTCGAAGAGCTCCTGGGCTCTTACTTGCTTTACGGTTTAGGGTTTAAGGGTTGAGGGGACTAGGGCTTTAGGGTTTAGGGTTTAGGGTTTACGGTTGAGGGACTTTAGGGTTTAGGGTTTAGGGTTCAGGGTTTAGGGTTTAGGGTTTAGGGTTTACGGTTTAGGGTGTAGGGTGTAGGGTTTAGGGTTTAGGGTTTAGGGTTTAGCGTGTTGAGTCTTGAGTTACCATAAGAGGGATCCTTTGAAGGGCTCTACGGCTGTATAATGAGGGTTTTATTACCGGATTCGGGTTTAGGGATTTAAGTTACCACATTAGGGGTCTATAGTGAATGATATTGACTTTTGGTATTCGCGTAACTTAAATTCACCAAGCCCCAACAAGCACCCAGGTTTGCAGGAGATGAGGAGGAGCTTGATGAGAGATGTGCGACAGAGTATCACCAGGATGCCTTATACCGAGATGCACCTGCGGAATGTCAGTGTGCAGTTCGAGGATCCCGACTCACGCCTGGGCTATGGATGCTTCCTCCTCGGCATGAAGTTAGACTCCCTGAAGCTCGACTGGCACCAGGGCCGCCATTGCCACGCTCAGCTGGCACGCTGGTCTCTCTATGCAGAGCCCTTTGCGGCAGCAGACAGCAGTGGAGTTCTCCTGCGATCGAAGCCGAGAAAAGTGGCTCAGGATATGGTGAAGCTGAACAGCGCTGAGCGGCTTCGTTCCTGGGCTTTCGCGAGCATGGAGGACCATCGTCGAAATCCTCTGAAGCAGCTCCGGCGAATGGAGCGCTTTGCAGACAGGCACAACATCCTGACGGTGCAGCATGTGACCATTCGAGGACTGTGAGTCGAAGAAATAGGATGTCTAACCACAGATGCTCCCTGATGTTCCTGTGATCAAGTTGGAACCAGACTGTTGATAGCTGCCCACTTGCTAAGCTTGCCACCCGACCGTAAACCCTACACCGTCCAACAGCTAAGCAATTGGCTCTACAATCTCCAACGGGGAGGCTGCCTCCGTCCAAAAACAAAGCAACTTGAGGGTTGAGGGTTTTGGGGAGAGCTCGCCTACCCCACTGAATCCGTAAACAACGTTGGATCCACTGAGCGCGAGGGTACAGAACCATATCGAGAAAAGCCAAGCCAAAATCCTATCATCAACATTGCAAAGCCTTACAAAAGCCTTTAACACCTTGCGTGCAACATCCTTGACTACTTCTTGCACAGCGCACCCGACTTGCTCCGATCCGTTCAGTAATACCGCAGGAGGCCCCAAGGAGGTCCCGAAAGAGCGGACCGGAGGACTGGTTTTTGTGCTTCCTCCATGCATTGTTTGGTTTAGGAACCTAAATATCTTCCACAATGTTTTATGCGATTTTCGTAGGGGTGCTGTGGGGGTTTGTGGCGTTTTTTTTCTTTTTATGTATGGGGTTCTATGGTTTGCCCTAGACTTTAAACCTTAAACGCTACAGCCGGTCCACCCAGAGGACTCTTGTCACGCATGGCGGCGCGGTTCGGGGCCTTTGGGAAGGACGGCCCGTAGTTCTCAGGGTGTTGAATTAGTGTGTTCTTAGGGTTTGTACTATAGTACGACTTCATGGATTGCTAAACATATCTTTTTATTGTGGTGCATCTGGCATTTCGGGTGTTTAGGGTTCGTTGTTTGGGGAGCTTGGGATTTGATTTGGAGCCTCAGGTTTAATGCCTTTTTTGGATGTTGGACGTTAGGGTTTAGGGTTTAGGGTGTAGGGTTCGTTTAGGAATTGTGATTCAGGGCGCTTTGGGTTGAAAGGGCCTTCCGCTGCAAGGCAACTCTTCACAGTCCATACAAGTGCGATGACGATGAGGCGACTGGTTGTGACAGTGGTAGAAATCTTCCTGGGGAGCGGTCTTGCCGATGAGATGAGGATGATGGCGATGATGTTGGTGGTGGTTTCTGGGATGGTCATCTTGTATGATCGTGACGTTACCAGCAAAAGCAGCAAAAAGGCCACCACCACCACCACTACCGCCGCCGCCGCCGCCACCGCCGC